TCAAAATGGATTTATTTTTAAATGATCCTTTACAAATTATGCATAGTTTCGCTCATTTTTCCGCTAATTAAAATTTGGATCTATGAAGTTTACAATATAAGGAAAGCCGTCGATAGCATCGGAAAGCACTTTCTGGATTATTCGGAACCCCCAGTTCAAATGGCTTCTCTTGAATGTCGCATCTTCTCTGTGACACACTGATTCCTGTGGCTATGTGGTGGAATGAAGTGGTAATAGCTCAACGATACTACGGGAGTCGCTACTGATATATATATAAGGTTAAAATTGCAGCCCATCCTGGATAAAATAGCTTTTGTGAGGTAAGGTTATGTACAATTCAGTGGTATTGTGAGGCCTACTAATCGAATATGTGATAAATTAATTTATGATTATGAAATATTGTGGCTTAATTGAATCTCGTTATGAAAGCTAATATCAAATCAACATTTATCCTAGTTAAGGGAAAATAACTTATATACAAAAGTATCAGTTGATACTAAATATAATGCTGTTAATGTAGTCAGCCCTTGTTAAGCAAGTACAAATTTCGGAGTCGTACGAAATCAGATTCATAAAAGAATATTATAGATACGAAAAGTAACAGGGCTTCAATCAATCTCCTAAGATAACATTGTTCGATAGAATTTCATTTCGTATAAGAGTGCATGGAGAAGAGATTCTTAGCCTGATGCCACCAGAAGACGAAAGCTCATTCTCGTCGCATTGCAGCAGTTTAGCCATAAAACAGTATTTGGGTTGAGACAGTCCACAAGATATCCCCTCTTGTTTAGAGTAAAACGGATTGGGATATCGTTCGTCATATGATGGACATTATCAGAACTGGAACTCATTTTTGTAACCGTTTCGCACTGGCACTAGGTTAAGAAGACTATCTTGCTTTATCTATACTCTTCTATATATATCCCTAACAAAAACGAAAACAAATAGGCTTAGATATATATATAATAGTTTTGTTAATTATCTTTCATATTTGCCATGCTCTCGAGTGTGTGTGTGTTAACGTCTATATTGATGGCTGTTTGGCACCCTCTCTATCTTTGAATTTATCAATCAAGGATAAATAGTTTTCACTCAACTTTCTACAACTGTTACTTGTATTCAACCCATACCCTAGTCTTTACATTTTAATAGTTTACCATATTTTTATTTTGAACGGGGACGTATCATTATCAGCAAGCCTACTTGTTTGAGACCATTATATCTCGTGTCCCGTCTCTGTGCCCAGACAATTTGACTGTTAGAACCAGCTGTCTAAGTAAGCATTTTGTGTTCTTCTATTTTCTGTAGAATAGGCCAACACGTCTCAACAACAAATGGTCGCCAACATATGCACTATGCTGACAAAAGGAAGATAAGGGAGGCTATCGAAAGCAACTGATTAGGGAATATGTCGAATGTAAGGAATCATGGTAGAAATCCGAGTATGAACTACTTATGCTTGATTGATAAATGGAAAGGGAGAGAGGGTGATTTGCCACCATCCAAAAGGAGGCGGATTAATTTGTCCACTCAGTAATCGTTTTAATATAACATTGACCCGTCCAAAATGTTGGATTAAGCTCGTTAATCAAACCAGTCGTAAAAGATTATGCAGTCCTAGTTAGGTCTTTCCTTAGGTGATGACCATATACATTGATGACCATATACTGATAGGTTAGTACAGGTGGTTTCGTAAGCTGACTTACAAGTTTCTAAGCTCACGTCGCAACCATAGTTACTTACTGACTTAGACAATCTCGGTCAGGGTATTTTCTCGGATCATTAACTTTTAATGACCACAACATGACATTATGATTTTTTAATAACTCTAATTTAGGACCGATATTGTGCATAGACGCTAACACACACTCCCATCCATATATAAATACGAGCAAAGGCTACATGATCAATATGAAAGATAATTAACCCAACTTTTTTATAGCTATCTATAAAGTTAGTTATGAGTATAGATAAGAGAAAAGATAGAGCCAGATAGTCTTATTGACTTAGTGTTAACGTTAGGATTTTACAAGAATGAGATCCGGCATTGTTGATGTCCATCATATGTGGAACATAAGCTCAGCCCGTTTTTACACGAAACATGGAAGGATTACTCGTGGAATGATTCAACTTCAACGGATAAAGTACAACGGAAATCAGCCAATGTTTACGTGTGAAATTAACCTACGCATATCGTAGTCATTCATTTTTATGCCTAATGAAATTCTCCCCAACAATGATATTAGCTGCATGAAATAATTAAGATTCAAGCCAAATTTCATAAAAATGTGCTTTCTAACTAAGTAACATATCTCAGTAAAATGTGGAATGGGTTTTAAGTCAATCCAAATAAAAAGTTAATAAATTGTATATTAACATTATTTGTATTAGTAAATAAAAAATGTTTCGTCCATTTTGACGAACAAAAAATATTAAGCATATGATAACTGTATCTTTCAGACATTTCATATCCCATATGCTTAAGTTACTTAATTATTAGCTCTCGAACTTATTTATAAATTAAGCCACTTCCCTTATTCTGATTACGAACTAATAAATTATCGCTCCTTTGTTAACAAAATAGCAACAATAAGGTACAATAAAGGTAAATTCACTTTTCAAAAATTATGCATAACTTATACTTTAACATTTGATTTATATTTTTACCATTTGATAACCATATTAGTTTGATCTTGTTTTAATCGCTTTCTTATTGCTCGTAGAATCTTGTTCAATCTCCTGAGTTTTTTCGTTTAAAATGCCTTTTTCGTAAAAACGTTTCCTGTTTTGTTGCTTTATTCTGATTTAACTTTGGTTAGTTAATTCTGTTGATCTTGGCCATTTATTTTTTATGCCTGTTTCTACTATAATACACACCTCAATTTGTATCCTATTATAATCTGCAATCGCTTCCGACTCCCCAATTTACCATTACTTCTTTCCTTGCCCCAGAATTCTTTTTACCATGAAATTTTTTATGCATCTTAATTATCGTGCAATTCGCATTATTGATTTTCTTATTTTTACCGTTTATTCATTTTTTTACTTTTTTTAATCTGATTTTTAGCTCGCTTTCCAGTATTATTACTCATACTTAAATGCTTTCCGAAGCATTCCTCTGAGTTTACCCTCAAAATGTCTGCCATTGGCACGAATTCGGTTTCAGGAGCGGCTTTGAGCTCCATGCGCGCAAAGGCCTCTGATGCTGTTGCCTCGCTTGCTGGCGTCTTTCCAACTCAGCATATACCTAACTCTCATGGGCACGCATATAGCGTCAATCTTGCCCAGACTCAACCGGGTGCTCAGACAACCTACCATATGGCTCCGGCTCAGCACCAAGCTCATCCAAATCAGCACCATTTAACTGTACAGCACCAGCACCAAGCTTCCCAACACCAACAAAATGTCGCACAACAGCAGCAACAGGTGGCTGCGGATCACTTCTTCCAACAATTGCAACAAACTGCCACAGCTGCTGCCGCACTTCCAAATGTTCTTTCTCCATATGATCATCATAACCAGTCTCCTTATATTGGTCAACTAATGTACTTTCCATATCCATCTGCGGCAGCTGCTGCCAACAGCCTTTTCACTAATAGTCCTTCTACGACTGAGCATCAAGTTCATCAACAATCTCAAACGATTTCTGCTGTTGCAAATTCCGCTGCTTTGTCTGCAGTAACTTCTCAGGCCACCGTTGTTGTAGCACCGGCCTCAGCTACATTGCATCAGCATCAGCAAAATGGTATGGCACCTGCCGGTTCTGCTGTTTCTGCCGCTACTCTGGCTCCCCTCTTAACATCGGCAGCCAATCTTTATCCCCAACATACTAATGTGAATACCAATTGTACACAATCATCTCTACAACCCCAAGGCCAAACATCTAATATCCAACCTCAACAAATATCTGTACAGTCGGTTACATCTTCTGGTAATGCCATCACGACCTTAGCAAGTTCCATAGGTGCTAGTTTAGGAGGAACTACGTTATGCACTAATTCTATACTAAATGCTTCTGCAGCTACGATTGCTGATCTTGATAAACTTTTGCCTGCTGTACCAAAGCTTGAGGCTACGACTGCTGTCTTATCAAGTGATGGTGGTCCGCTTAATGGTGGCCAATTGATCACACCTCCCGCAAAAAGAGATAATAACGGGACCGGGCAGTTTATGTAAGTGTCAATTCCTGACTTATATTATCTCAATACAATTTTGCTCCTCATTCTCAGTATTTTTATTTTCTAGCTGTGGTGTCTGTGGTCGCGAGTTTGGAATGAGATGTAGACTAATTGCGCACACTCGGAGGCACACTGGAGAACGTCCATTCCCCTGCGTCGAATGTGGTCGTGCATTTTCTGATAGAGGAAACTTACAGCGCCATCGTTATACTCATTCTTCTAATCCTAGGTTCCATTGTAATGTGTGCGGAAAGGCTTTTCGGCAGGTGGGTTGGATTTTGTTGATATTTGTGTCAATGACCATACTACATTGATTTTGTACTCTGGTCGTTTATTCGCTTTAAGGCTTCGGCTGATATTTTCCTTAATATACAATTTTCAGGCCTCTTGCCTTTCGAATCATCGACGATTCCACTGTGCTGGTGCCTCCGGACGTCCTTGCCCCTTTTGCGCTCGGTCCTTCCGCTCTTCCTCTAGTCTTCAAATGCACATTCGTTGGAAGCATCGCGCTGATGCCGCAGCAGCTATTGCCGCTGCCACTGCCGTCGCTGTAATTGGGGGCGCAGGTGCCACTGGTGCCTCCGTTGATTCCAACGTTGGGATCAGGATTAATGGATCTAGCTTGATCTCAGGCAATGAAAATGTACTCGGGGGCGGAATAACTTCTGGCAATATTGGGATGAGTATAGGTGTGTACCACAATCAGCTCGGACTTATTTTTATTTAATCCCATATTCTTCCTTTTATTCGGGTCATTATTTGAGTTAAATATTATTTAATATATTTGCCTAATTTTTTTATATATGCAATTCGTAAAAAAATACGGCATACCTATTTCTTTCCTCATTAATTATATTAGCTCTCAAGTTAAATATTTATCAATTAATATTCAGTCCATTATTAATTTTTCAAGGTGGTTCCTTAAATCCCAACAACCGGAAGTGGCGCCGCAAGTCTAAGCCGAAACAAGTTCATTACAATGCCTTTGGGAAACTGGTAAGTCCCCTCCAAGCTGGTATTATATTTTGTGTCTAAATGTCTTTTTTCCGCATTGTTTAGCTTTGTTTTGAAAATCGGTTTACAATATATTGTTTTATCTGTTGTGTACTTAGACAAAAAAGCTTACATTCTTTGCTTGCATATTTCTGTCTGCCTTATAATGGATTTTGACACTGCTTCACAAGCTTTTCTATGCATGGGTTCTGCTGTTTCTTTCTCTATTCCTGATTCATCCTTGTCTTATTGAGTCTGGTGTCTGGTAATTACATCCTCAAATTATGTT